TGAAAAGAGATCCAGGAAGTGGCCCTCCTCAGCTGCGGAAAGAGCTGAGAACTGCTGTTCACAAACGCTCTCTATCCAACCTTACAGATCTCAAGCTGTTTTGCAAGGAAGACTGGGCAAGAATTTCAGTCTCTCGGTGTGCAAAACTGATAGAGACATACCCCAAGAGACTTGCAGCTGTAATTACAGTAAAAGGTGGCGTTACAAAGTATTAATGCAAGGGGGCCAAATAATATTGCACGCCCCACTTTTCAGTTTTTATTTGTTAAAAAAGTTTGACACATCCAATAAATTTCATTCCACTTCATGATTGTGTCCCACTTGTTGTTGATTCTTCACAAAAAATATAAATTTTCTATCTTTATATTTGAAGCCTGAAATGTACCATACCATACCAATTTATTTATAGAGCACTTAAAACAGCAACAAGGCCAACCAAAGTGCTGTACAAAAGAAAACAAACATGTACAGCGGACAGGAAAACATAAAATAGAAATACAGATACAAATAGCAGCAGAAGCTAACTAAAATGGCCAACAGAGTAGAGAACAGACCGGACCAAAACAAATCACACCGTGTTAAAGGCAAGCGAATAGAAGTGGGTCTTCAAGCGAGACTTAAAGACTGAGAGTGTGGGAGCCTGCCGGACACTCAGTGGCAACTCATTCCACAGTTGTGGACCTGCAACAGAGAAAGCCCTGTCACCTCTGAGCTTACGACGGGTTTCTGGGACTGAGAGAAGCATCTGGTCTGCTGACCTCAGAGAGCGCGGTGGGACATATGGCTGCAGAAGATCAGTGAGATAGGATGGGGCGGAACTGTTCAGTGATTTAAAAACATACATGAGAATTTTGAATTGAATCCAAAGGTGAATGGGTAGCCAGTGCAGGGAGGCCAAAACTGGCGTGATGTGCTCTCTATAGCCTGTACCAGTTAAAAATCGGGCTGCAGCATTTTGGACCAGTTGTAGACGAGCAATGGAGGACTGACTGATTCCAAACAGAAGTGAATTGCAGTAATCAAGCCTAGGTGTTATGAAGGCGTGGATCACTGTCTCAAGGTTCTTTTTGGAGAGTATAGGCTTCAGCTTAGACAGCCGTCTCAGCTGAAAAAAACAGGATTTGACCATCATGTTTACGTGACTGTTGAGTTTTAAGGACGGGTCCATTATCATCCCCAGATTAGTGACCTTTTGTTTCTCTAGCGGGGCTAGAGAGAAAAGGTCAATGTCATGGTTCATGAGTGAGCCACTGGGATGGAACAGCATGACTTCAGACTTCTTCTCATTGAAGCTTAAGAAGTTTAAAGCCATCCAGTCCCAGATGTCAGCCAGGCAGTCAAGAAGAGGCTGAATAGAGCGTGTGCCTCTGTGCCTCAGGGGGAAGTAAATTTGGCAATCATCGGCGTAGAAATGAAAGGGTATGTTGTGTTTGCAGAAGATAGCACCTAGTGGCAGCAGGTATAAAGAAAAGAGAAGGGGACCGAGGATGGACCCCTGCGGTACCCCCCACTGGAGCGCTGTCGATGCCGAACTAAAATCTTTGATATTGACACAGAAGGTTCTGTCAGAGAGGTAGGACCCAAACCATTTAAGGGCTGACCCTGTGATGCCCACCCACTGCTCCAGTCTAGAAATGAGGATCTTGTGGTCGATGGTGTCAAAAGCAGATGTAAGGTCCAATAGGACAAGCAGCACAGAATCACCTGCGTCTGTGGATATGAAAATGTCATTAAAAACCTTCAGTAGAGCAGTTTCAGTGCTATGGAGAGATTTGAAGCCAGATTGGAATAACTCTAGGATAGCGTGATCCCCCCAAAAACTGTTTCAACTGAGACTCCACAATTTTTTCCAGTAGTTTAGAGGTGAATGGGAGTCTGGAGACAGGCCGGAAGTTGGACATGACTGAGGGGTCAAGGTTAGGTTTTTTCAGGAGGGGCTGGACAGCAGCATGTTTAAAAGTCTTTGGCACCACACCTGAGGATAAACTGCTATTCAGAATAGTGAGGATAAAAGGACCCAGGGTAGGAAAAACTTCCTTTAGTAGTCGAGGGGGGACCACATCAAAGGGGGAACCAGGTGGCTTCATGCTGCACATTACCTGCTCCAGAGAGGACAGAGAGATGGGCTCAAAGTGGTCAAACACAGCCACACACTGAGATGGGATGGACAGATCATGAGCTGGCGGAGAAATGAGTGCCCGGGTGTTTGCCACTTTTTCTAAAAAGAAATGGAGGAAGTTTTCACACAGCTCAGTTGAGGCTTCCAGAGGTGAAGGCTCACTGAGGTGTAGAACTGAGTTCAGGGTGGAGAAAAGAACTTGGGGATTGTGGGAGTTGGAGACAATTAAATCAGAGAAGAATTTACATTTGGCAGCTTTAACGGTTTTCTGATAGTGACGCCAACTCTCCCTTAACATTTGAAAAGAAATCTGTAGCCTGTCCTTCCTCCACCTTCGTTCAGCTCTGTGACACTGCCGCCTAATGGCTCGCGTGACGTCATTCAGCCAAGGCTCTGATCTAAGTTTCGTTTTTCTGGTTTTAAGGGGAGCAACACGGTCCAGAACATTTAAACAGGCAGAGCTGAACTGAGAGGTTAGCTCCTCAGTGGTAAGAGACACCGGGAACTGTTCGATCCTCTCAGAATTAAAACCTTCATTAAAACGAGCAGCAGTAAAACGGTTAATGGAACGCGTACGTGCAGGAACGCATGTCTTAGCAGTATGAAAAGGGGGGGTGAAGTCAAACAATACAGGCATGTGATCTGAAAAAACATTGTCACCGATTTTCAAATTAGAAACAGAGACATTGCGTGTTAAAACGAGGTCCAGCGTGTGACCGTGTTCCTGGGTGGGGCCGCTCACCTGCTGAGCTAAGCCAAAAGAGTCCAATAAATCTAGAAAGTCCTTCACTAAGGGCTTCTCCTGACAACACACATGCAAATTAAAGTCACCAATAAGCAAAAAGTGAGTGTATCTCTGTGTGATATCAGCCAAAAAGTCAGAGAATTCATTTATGAAGTCCTTAGAATGAGGTGGGCGATAGATGAGCGCGCACAGAACCGTAGGACAGTGTCCGAGTTCAAAAGCGCTCAGCTCAAAGCTGGCGCGGGACACCGGGATGGACAACTGTTTACAGGCCAAGTTTGCTTTAAAAACTGTTAATAATACCTCACCCCCCCCCCCCCCCCCCCCCGCACCGACCTGATGGCCGCGGGGCATTGAAACACAGACAGTCGGGGGGTAGTAGCTCCACCAAGGCGCTGGACTCACCATCAGAAATCCAAGATTCCGTGACAAACAGAAAATCCAACTCCTGATCTTTAAAAAAGTCATTGAGGATAAACGTCTTGTTGGAAACAGACCAAGCAGGTGGCAAAGAGCAGAGGAGGCAGAGAGCTGAAATCATGACATTCTGTGTTCTTTTAAAGCGTTTAGAGTTTAGAAACATTGTTTAGAATATTGCAAGAGTGTGGGAAGGGTTTAAAAATGCCTACATATATATACAGACTAAAATAAACTACTACTTACTTCTTGTACAACTGCTCCTACTTTGCGGTTTTTCACTTATCGTGGGGCTTCAGGGTACAGATCCCCTGCGATAAAAGAGGGACTACTGTATTTGGATTTGGAAAACGACCATGACATTTCCTTTGACAGGAAAACTGTGTGATGGTTCTTTTGTGTTCAGCTTTAATTTGGTTTGACTGTCAAACACAAGTGTTCTCAGATCTTAGCATCATTCCTTGAGGCTGACTTTGCATTAACGGACTTGCATCAGCTGCTTCAGTCATGCTCTCCCATCGGAGGCTCACTCAGGTTTGTGGAGCCATCACTGAGTACCTCTCACAATCAATCCTCTGATAAACTCATGCTAAAGCAATTTGCTGCTGCAGCTGCCACCGCCAACACAACCTTGAGCCATGATGTATTTGATCATGCGTAAATGACAGCAGCAGAGTATGTTAAACAACAGCAAGACACACTTTTAAACGTTGGTTTATAAAAGCTTATATTCAAAACAAAAAGTCATTCCTTTAAATTGATGCTTTCAACTTTCACATGCAAATGTATTTTGTCTATTTTTTTTGCAGTACAGAAGTTAAAAACAAACTCACTGTGTTTAAAAATCTTTTTCAATAAAATAAATAAATAACATTTAATTTGTTTTGTTCATACTTTACCATATTGGAGTCAACTCTGTTTGTTAGCAAATAAATTTATAAATCACTGGGCATATTTTCATGAAACTCTCAAAGTAATCACAGGATGCACATCTACAACTTATTAATACTTGGAGTTGAGCAAAATCAAAAATGGTTGCCATAGCTATTTGAGCTTAGCTGATACAAAAAGAGCTCTAACTTAGTTCATTCATTTACATGTCAATGTTTGTCACGGCTGCTTAAATGCCTAGTTGTCCTTCAGCAGATGATTATCCTCTACCACCTTTCATGACAGACTGTTAAACCAAAATATCAACTACATATATAGTACAGTGCTGTAGAAATGGGTAAATGAGGCACAGATTGTGTTGTAAAGCGCTTTGAGTATCTCGATAAGATAAAAAAGGCACTATATAAGTACAGTCCATTTACCATTTACCATTTAACTTAATCACAATTACAGATAAATTTGGTTTGGTAGTAAAAGTCATCCTCATCAAATATTCTGAGCGCTAACAAATTTCAAAAGATCCTGCAGTATCACATTGTTTAACCAAATTGGTCATAACTCTGTTCCGTTTTAAACTTAGTTGATATTTTGGTTTAACAGTCTGTCATGAAAGGTGGCAGAGGATAATCATCTGCTGAAGGACAATTAAGCATTTAACCAGTCATGAGAAACATTGATACAAACAATGTAAATGAAATGCATTAAACCAGAATTACAATTCAAAATAACCCAGAATACAGAATCAGCCAGATTTCTAATAAAAACAATCAACTCTAACTCTTGGTAAATGACCAGTTTGCTCCGTTAATCCTCAGACAGCATCCTCTCTCATTTTCCTTTGTGCTTCTTGAACAGGGCGTAAAGGACTTTCAAGGTAACAGCCACATCCTGAGAGACGATATCTGTCAAAAGATCCACAGGAGACATATTGCACAATTAGCAGTGTGACAGTGCTTTGTCAATGTTAGCTGCTTTCATAAAAAATCCAAACAGGTCAAAAGTTCAAGAGCACAAAGGAAACAAAAAAGCATTGGATGTAAACTTGATCAAGATGTCCTTGGGGAGGTGAGATCCCACCAGCTTCCAGTTGTGGGATGCATGAAGGCAATGAATGTGGCATAAAGATCAACTCCTCCACTTGCTAACCTAATTACTGCAGCCAGCATGTCCCTAAATGAGACCCTGAGTGCTGGATGTCCTTGCACCATCACAGTAATTATGCCCTTAATTAAAAAGACACTAAAAGTTGAAATCAAATTAACTCATTCCCTGGGCTTAGATGAATTATGCTGGCCTTTACATGATCAGTTATCATGCTGAGGATTTATTGCAGATTTATAGCATACTGCTGGTGGGCAATAATGTGGGAAAGTCTGAAAGGTTGTAGGAGGCTGCTGAAGCTCAGTGAGAAGCTCATCTTGTCAATAATAGATAGACAGAGAAAGGCTGATCCATTTCCTGTTGACTGATTTACACTATTAGATAAGTCTGTAACTGACCCAATCACTCACTTTCTTTTCACTTTTCTCTGCTTCTCTGAATGAAAGATGATTGTTGGACTGAGATGATTGTTTGCAGTGATACTTATTGAGACAAAATCATACTCATTTATAATCTGTAAATAATTCCATTTTACTCGGTGATGCAGTAGAGATTAAATTTAACTACTGCAACAATGCCCATTCCTCGCTTGACACACAAAAAGATGTGAAATTTCCCCAAGTCAAAATGACGTTGAATATCATTTAACACTATTGGCACTTGGGTGATTTAAAAAAAAAAATAATTGTATGTAAACACTGTTACGATATTTTTGGACTGGTTCTATGGTTTTGATCTGCTCAGAGACGGGATTATAATGAAATTATGACCCGGTTCTGACTGGGTTAAACTGGGCCAGCAACTCTAAAGAGAGTCTCCCTGGGATTCAATATCAGTCAAGGAATAGATTAACCTGCTTGCCACATCATGTAGAAGGCTTTTGAAGCACTGTTTCATATTTCCTAACACATCATAACCACATAAGATCCACATAAGATCCACTGAGATCACACTTAGTCACGCCCCCTCATACACTGGCAGGTTGAGCTCCCCTTCTGCAAAGGCGGAGTCTTAGGACCCTATAAATGAGTAATGACACGGGACATCGGGGCACTTCTTTCGGGTCTGTGAACACGTCACAGACGGGAGAGTCCAGCTCTGTAAATTGTAATCTTTTCCTGCCTTTTTTAATATAATTGATAAAATTTAATTGACGTTTCCTTGATTTATTGATTAGTATGAGTTGCCACTTCTGAGGGAGGTTCGAGCCTGGGGGAAAGGCATGGGCTGGAGGGGGTTTCCGGGTCCGGTGGTCCGCAGCCAGCTCCCGTCTTTAACAGTTGGTGCCATGACTCGGATTTGAACCGGGGTTGCTGTGGTAACAGTTGGTGCCGAAACCTGGTCTCCCGTCTTTAGGAGTGGTAGCTCATTTTTTATTGTTTAATGGTGACACAGCGGCAGGTGACCGAGTCTGAGCAGACTGAACAAGCCAGCTTTACCATCTCATGAGGTAAGCAGAAGACCTGTTAAATCGAATTTCTGCGTGTCCCTTAAGAACGGTCAGGCTGCTCTGGTTTCGGTTTTTGTGCACGCAGTTTTTGTGGACTAAAAGGCAGTAGAACATTATAGTATAATACGGGATTTTTTTAATTTTATTTATCGGACGTAAAAGTTTATGTACGGGATGTTTCTCGCCGGGATGCGCGTGGGAGCGGACCGGAAACGTTAGCAACTTGCTATCTGAAAGTGGTCCGAGAACGTTATAAACACGCGAAACGCTATTTTTTCCATGAAAATAAGAATCGTCCGGTTGATTTAAAAGCCCGTACATGAACGTTCGTTTGATTTTAGATTAAATTAAACAAACGGCATGACTGGAGGTTTAAAGCCCCGCGTGAAAATTATAATGTCATTTATGCTGACGGTAAAATCTTTACGGGAAGCGTGCGCAGTCTGAAATTGTTCCAGGTGTAGTTGCCCGTCACTGTTTACTAGAAACGCGTTAATACGTGAACGCCGGGGAAACGTTAAGAGGTGTGGGTCATTCTGACAGTTCGAAGAAATTCTACTGAGTTCTGGGTGCCTGTGGGGAGCTTTGCTAACTCTCTGAAAGAAGTTGTCAGCCCAGGGATCCTGTTTGGTGGTAGTCCCCTTTAGGTCTGCGGCTGGACACAGACTGGTCAAAGAGCACAGCGATAAACGACGTGTTGGTTATAGCAGTGCTTATTGAAATGGGAGGATCTTTAAAATATGCACCTAGATTAAATGATATGAGGTCTAGGAGAGACCAGGAGAGGTCCGGGAGAGACCAGCAGAGGTCCGGGAGAGACCTGGAGACGATTGTGTGAAGTTGTTAGAGTAGTAATAGGGTCAGGTTAGTTTGTAGAGTAGGCAGTTGAGGGACATTTAGAGGTTTTGTTTTAAAGGATAAGAGGTAAAATGTGTTGTATATGTCTACAGCCTTGAAAAGCTGATAAAATATAAGGAATGAGGTACATCTATGTGGGAGGTGTTCCTAAGTGTGTGTTCTTGAGCTAAAACTGACGCTAGTCAAAACAAAAATGTGTACGTGATGTGAAAGTGATATGAAAGAAGTGTGTCCATGGTGCGTGTCCTAGAATGAGTGATTGTCTAGTTATAAATGTCAATCTAACAAACTATGAAATATATTCTAAGTTGATCTTGGACTAAATTATGACTTTTGAACTAGTCTTGCTCATAGCTTTCTGCAGGTGGTGTGTTTGGTGGTACCAGGGGCCCCCACCAGACTGCCACACAGCTTAGCTAGAAACTAATAGCAACAGCTGCCTAGTACAAGGTCACTTAATAACAGCGAATAAATGAAGACTTATAAAACCTAAGGCTGAAGAAATCATCACATATCTAAAAATTGGTAAGTGACCTTTTTATATTAACATAAATTTATTTAAATAACTTTTGAAGACCAACAGGTACAGTTCAAACTGGGAGCCCAGACAGAAAGCAGAAATCTCTGCACTCAAGTTGATGTGAGTAGATGAACACACAAAGACCTTCTCTCTGAAGATAATGTGACAGGTCAGAGATGTTTTACATTTATCACAGTCTCATGTGTGTAGATTATCGTGTGGTGTTTGGAGTAGAGATTGACTGGAGCCTTGTGGCCTACATAAACAGGACAACTACCAGGGTCATCTGACCTTGTTTTTTCATTTTATTTTCTTGCAAGATTTTGAATTACTACAGGTTAAAGTAAATTAAAAGATGAGGGAACTCAAACACGTCTGTAAAATTAAACCAACCAGGGTAAAAGTATTTTCTTATCTGTAGAATGATAGAGTTTTGCAGGCCGCCATGACATGAACCATCATGATTTAAACTTGCATTATTAGCTTGGAGCATGTGCGTATAATTAATCTTCAATGGTACATTTTTATCTGTGTAAATACAAGATCATTTTTGTCTGTTTACTTGTGTTTCTGATTTTATGTTTATCTTCAATTTGAATTGTTTTGTTATTGACATACATGTGTAATGATCAGTGCTATGAAATTTCACCTGAGGTAAAATGCTGAGGTGTTTTTTATTTTTATTAAATAAAATTGCAGGGTCTGTTGGGGGTGATGACAACTCTCTCATCTGGACTCAGGAGGGGAGGAGAGTAGACAATAATATTTAAACATTTGAATTATTCATTAAAAGTTACATAAATAAATAACATGTATACTATTTAGGTTAAGCAACACTGGTTCATGTGAGGGTTGGTAATGGAACTGTGTAAGGTTGGGTTTTTAATTTCACGTAATAGAAGTATTAATCGTTTTATTCCTCTCACAGAACAAATGCATGCATGTTAGGTTTTGAGGCGCAGGGCCTCCTTAGCAAAGTTAGGCCTCCTTTGCTGGGGACGTCTGGTGACCTAAAAGGTATTTGCCTGGTTAAATAGAAGTCACGTTCAAACACACACATGTGCACACACCCACACACACACACACACAGTGCTTAATATTTTACAGAGATGGAAAGACATCATCTTTTCAGACAAACACTATATGTTAAAATGTACTCCAGTGAAGATTCACCTCAGAGTAATTGACAGATAAATGGATCCATCCTTAATTATGGACATTTTTAAATGGTAATACAAGCTGCCATTAACTATGGGATTTAACAGAATGTCTTAAAAGAGTCATGATGAGAGCTGGGATTATCTCACAGCAAGTGCCCTGCAGTTTTAAGATATAGTCTTAGTGTTAAATTAAAGAAATACAGATTAAAATTGGTAATTTTATGTTTTCAAAAGAGTAATTTTTCACTTCACCTGTGCCTGTACCTTTAAAAAATTACTGGTTAAACAAAGATTATGTTTGAGGATTATTTAATTGATGTGATTTGTAAATCTAAAACAACATTAACCCTTCACAGGTCTTTGGAGTGATGCTGAACTAAAATAACTACTGTGAATGTTTTTTAGAACTGTTAACTATAAATTGCTTCAGCAGGGATGGATGGCTGGCTGGAAATCTACAGTCTAGCGCTGTAAATTGTAATCTTTTTCTGCCTTTTTTAATATAATTGATAAAACTTAATTGGCGTTTCCTTGATTTATTGATTAGTATGAGTTGCCACTTCTGAGGGAGGTTCGAGCCTGGGGAAAAGACGTGGGCTAGAGGGGGTTTCCAGGTCCGGTGGTCCGCAGCCAGCTCCCATCTTTAACAACACATTTAAAAGGTTTTTTTTTTAGAAAATTGTCGTACCTTGTGGCTCAATATTGGGAAGCTGCAGATCCATATTATTCAGGAGGTCCAAGACTAAGGTCACATTATGAAGCTGAAAAAAATACAAAAGGGTGAAAAATGCAAATGATTTCCAAAGTAAAATAAGTTTGTAGGCTTTTGGCTGTAATTTGGTTAATGTCGACATCTTCATAGTAATGAAGGCCGCTTTTATGTTGAACACCCTTACTCTGTTCTCCAGCCTATATGACCTGTTATGTAGCAGGATTGCAATGTGTGAAAAATTACTGTGAATGCAATCATGACCCTGCTACATGCTTAGTACATAACATTTTTTATATATATATTTTATGTGTCCTTGAGACAGTAGGCGTTCTAGGGAAGGCAGCTGCCACTATAGAAAATATATATTTATCAATCTTTAGAACACACACACACCCCTCTAGAATTTCAAAAATATTTTTCCTGCCAGTTGGATTTGGAAACTTCACCAGTAGAGACATTTCAACAATCACAGCCATCAAAGTGGCTACTGGAAGGTTAGTGGTTCTATCCCTCAGGAGCAACAGGGATAGGTAAAGTTTATAAATGTCTTACCAGAGAAAAGTAACAATAGCTTTTGCCCTTTTCTGGAATTTCATAACTCACTTTTGCCACTAAGAGAAAAATCTCTGTATCCACCAACGCCCTGAGATATTCTCTTGCACTACCACCATGTTCCACATGCCCACCTAAATTGCATCATTGTGTAACTACAGTTTGGAAGATCATACAATGAGAGCACAATTCTACTGCCATGGGTACCATGTCTTTTAGGTTGTTTTCTTGACCTTATTATAATCACAGTTGTAGCTAACGCCACCATGTTCCATTTAGATATGGGAATGACATCAGACTCAACTTGTTCCAGTTGCAGTTCAGAAAACCAGTAGGATTTGCTCATTGTTGTGTTCAGTAACCAGACTAACACAAATTAGCTAAACGAGTGAATGACAACTGATGTCTCAGGATTCTGTATATTTTAACAAATGTCAGTCTTATCATAATGCAGTGTTTCATTGTGTAGGTATTTGCAAGTATTTTAAAACACTTTACATCTAAAGACATCTTGGCAGATGCACTGTCAGTTTTTAAAGTTTTAACTGGTCTAATAATGGCATAATAATAATAATGGCAGCACGGTGGCACAGTTGGTAGAGCTGCTGCCTCTCGGCGGGCAGGTTACGCTGGTTCAAATCCCAGTCTTTGTGCCTTTCTGGATGGAGTTTGCATGTTCTCTCCGTGCATGTGTGGATTTCCTCCCACAGACCAAAAACATGATTGGTAACTCTAAATTGTCTCTAGGTGTGAGTTAGAGAGTGAATGTTGTTTGTCTACTTTGTCTCTATGTGTCCCTGTGATGGACTGGAGACCTGTCCAGGGTGTCCCCCGCCTCTCACTCAGTGATGGCTGGACATGGGCACCAGTGACTCCCCCAACCCAAAAGGGAAGAAGTGGGTAAAAAGATAATGGATGGATGGATGGATAATGGAACTGGTCTAATCATGATGAACAAATTGTATTTTCATGAATAAAATGTGTTTCTATCAAGTTAAAATGTCCATGTTTTATATTGTTAATTGTAAAAAAAAAATAAAAAGAAGCCTGATTTCAAGCATAGATCAATGTTATTATATATATGGAGACTGTGGCTGAGTGGTTAGAGCAGTCGTCCTCCAATGCAAGAGTTGGGGGTTCAGTTCCACCAGCAGTCACATATGGAAGTGTCCCTGCGCAAGACACTGAACCCCTCATTTCGTCTGATGTGTGTCCCATCAGTGTATGAATGTAATAAAGCACTGATTATTCTTTGTATAGATCTAAGAGAGTGCTGTATGAATGGGTCAATGAGGACACAGATTGTAGTGTAAAGCACTTTTGAGTATATTGACAAGATAGAAAGGTTGCTACATAAGTACAGTCCATTCACCAAATACATTTTGAGAGAGAATATGTCTAACTGTCACACTGTTTCCAGTCAGTAAATTATGACCTGATCATATCAGAGATAAAAGAAGAAAAGCTTTCATTGGCTCATCCTGTTGCCTCAAGACAGTACTTAACAGACATCTATTTTATGATAGTGATGTCTTAATTAGCGTTATCATTTGGTTCATTAGAAAATGTTCAAGTTTTAGTTTTGGTTAGTTTGGATTAGGCAGTGAAACAAAGAAAAGTGGGACCATGGTTACTGAGAATTAAAATAAAGCAGTATCTCAATAATTATTATAAACAAAAGCATTTAGATGATTTGCAAACAAAAAAGCATTTTTTTTTCTATTGGCATGCATCTTCTTTTGTCTTTTCCCTCTTCAGGGGTCTCCACAGCGAGTCATCCTCCTCCATCTCACTCCATCCTCACTCCAACTACCTCCCATGTCCTCTCTAACTGCATCCATATATCTCCTCTTTGTCTTTTCCCTGGAAGCTGCATTTCTAACATCCTTCTACCAATATTCCCACTGTCCATCCTCTGGACATGTCCAAACTATCTCAGTCTCGCATCTCTAACTTTATCTCCCAGTTGTTCAATCTGTGCTGTACCTCTGATGATCTCATTCCTAAACATATCCATCCTTGCCACTCCTAAAGAGAACCTCAGCATCTTCATTTCTGCCACTTTGTTTTTTCTCCTGTCTTTTTGGCAATACCACTGTCTCCAGACCATACACCACTGTCTTGTAAACTTTTCCTTTTACCTTTGATGACACCCTTTTGTCACAAATCACTCCTGAAACTTTTCTCCATTCACTCCATCCTGCCTGGACTCACTTTATCACCTCTTTACCACACTCTCCATTTTCCATTTTCTTGGACAGTGGATCCCATGTCCTTGAAGTCCTGCACCTTTGTGATCTCTGCTCCTTGTAGCCTGTTCCACCTCCTCCCTCTCATTCACACATGTACTCTGTCTTACTACAGCTGACTTTCATTCCTCTTCTTTCAAGTGCATACCTCCACCTCTCCAAGTTCTCTTCCACCTGTTCCCTGTTCTCACCACAGATCACAGTGTCATCTGCAAACATCATAGTCAACAGGGATTCCTGCCTGACCTCATCTGTTAGTCAGTCCATCACCAGAGCAAAGAAGAAGGGGCTCAGAGCCGATCCTTGATGCAATCCCACCTCCACCTCAAAGCTATAGTCCCTCCTACTGTCACAGTTTACACTCTTTTTTTTTTCCTTTTCTCATCACTCTGTTCACTGTTTGACTTATTCTTCTCTGCTCTCCTAGGTTTTTCCTCTGCTGCTTCTGCCAGCCTCTTTACATGCCACACCTCTCTCTCTGATTGATGCTGATGGTTTCCACCTGTTTCTGGGTGTTTCCTGCTTTCTCCACTACATTACCAAATCAACTGCTTGCTTCCAGCCACAGTTATCCAGCGTGCTCTCTTTGTTCACAGCTCTTTAATCTTGATCCATGCCTGTTTCCCTCGACCACTCTTTTTGCCTGTCCCTTTTGTGCCTCAGCCTTCTGACCTTGTTGACGACCTACGCCTGTTTTTGGATTTTGCCTTTGCCTCTCCCTATTGGTACTATCTCCTCTTCTGATCCCATGTATGAACCCTGCTCATCCTCGACTACGCCTCTGGATTTCCCTTGGTCTCTGCAACTCTGTGTCTCTGCTGGAGCATCCCGTTACAATAAGAAAGGTTAGTGTTTCATCAGACCGTCTGTATTCAGATAACTACTCGTTATTCTGTCAAACACTAAACTTTCCCCTCTGTATCATTTTAGATACAGTTCCTGCCCCTGGACCTGAGACATCAGAAGCTATTTATTTACTCAATAAACATTTTAAAAACCTTTCTGAGTCTGTGTGTAGGATCCTCTGCCATCAGATCTCTGACAGATTGATCTGGCCAAACATGGATCCTGCACCGGGCTCAGAATGATGCTCTGGTGTGGAAGGTGCCATCGGTAAATTAGAGACCGGCATGAATGAGATCATGAACATGCTTAAGACTCTAACTCCTCACTCTAACCCTCAGGACTCAAATCATGCCGGCAGTCCTGCATGTGCTGGAACCACGAGTAACCCACTCGGAGAACCATGGTTGGCTCCACAAGAACTGTTTTCAGGGGCACTGGACCAGTGCTGCCTGTTCTTAACACAATGTGAGATTCATTTTCAGCTCCAGCCCTCATCCTTCCCCTCTGAACGTGCTAAGGTGGCGTATACCGTGTCCCTCCTGTCTGCAAAAGATAAGTCTTGGGGAACGTCAGAATGGCAAAGGGATTCAAGGTACTACTACTTGTTTCATGAGTTTTCTAAAGAGCTGTGCAGAGTTTTTGACCCCATCCTCCCAGAAAGAGAGGCTGCTCGTAGACTGTTTTCAGTGAAGCAGGGAAACAAAGAGTAACTGAGTACATTATAGATTTTCATACTACTGCTGCTGGTAGTAAATGGAATGAAGAGGCACTAACTGATGCTTTCTACCAAGAGCTTAATGAGGAGATCAAGGACAACCTGGCAAACAAGCGATACCCAGACTCACGGCAGGACCTAGAGGATTTGGCTACAAGGATAGATCTACGCTTGATGGAGAGATCCTGAGAACGAGCTGAGAGATCCAGCAGAGCCTCAAGACCCCTTGAGGAACCCAGAGAGGAACCCAGATGGCTTCCCCTGGGATTCCCCTCTCCATCACATCCACAAGAGACACCACCACGAGAGGAGCCCATGCACATTGGACGCAGCCGTCTTACTCCAGAGGAACGTGAGAGGAGACGTCGGAACCGGCTGTGTTTCTACTGTGGCCAGGACTCTCACAACGTCTCTAACTGTCCGTTAAAAGGGCAGACTCAGCAGAGAAGAGGACTCCTGCTGAGTCAGACCCAGAATCCAGTAATCTCCTCACCCTTCACATTTCCAGCTGAGCTGTCCGCTTCTGGTAAGACCTGCACCTCCATTAAAGTACTCATCGACTCAGGGGCCGACTCTGAGTTCATGGACCTTCAGTTTGCCCAAGAACGAGGAATAAAACTGTTTAAATCCCCTAAACCACTGTGGGCACTTTTCCCGTTTTAACTTTGCCCTCACCTATTGACCCGGTCACAAGAACACAAAACCTGATGCCCTCTCTCACATCATGGAGGAGGATTCTTGTTCCTCATCTCCTCCTGTCGGTGAGTTTATCCTTCCCAACTCTGTCTGCCTGGCTGTCACTCAACTGGAGCTGGACCTACGACAGGCCAACCAGTTGCACCCTCCTCCAACCGTCTGTCCCCCTGACCGATTATTTGTAGCCCCTGAGTTTGTCCAGGAGGTCCTCAAGTTTTGTCACAGCTCCCGCCTAGTTTGCCATCCTGGTTTCTCTAAAACTGTTTCTTTAGTTTGCGCACAGTTCTGGTGGCCCACTTTGAACCAGGACGTGCGCTCTTTTGTTTTATCCTGCCCTGCCTGTTCCCAAGCAAAGTCCTCACGTCCCCCCCCCCCCTCTAGTCTCCTCCGTCCACTTCCTATCCCGTCACGCCCATGGTCCCACATCAGTCTAGATTTCATCACTGGTCTTCCTCCCTCTGCCGGCAACACCGTCATCCTGACGGTTGTTGACCGTTTTTCCAAGATGGTTCACCTGGTCCCTCTTCCCAAGCTTCTCTCAGCGAAGACCCTGGTTGGGATCATGTCATGTGAGGTCTTTCACTTGCACGGTCTGCCCACAGATATTGTTTCAGACAGAGGACCTCAGTTTGTCTCCAAGTTCTGGAGAGAATTTTGCGACCTCCTGGGGGTTTCCATTAGCCTCTCCTCTGGCTTTCATCCCCAGACTGATGGCTAAATGGTTAGGGCAAACCAGGAGGTCGAGGCCAAGCTGAGGATCCTCTGTCAGAAAGATCCCAGCCAGTGGTCCCCCAACCTCTCCTGGGTCGAACACATCCTCAACACTGTCCCATCCTCTGCTACCGGTCTGTCCCCTTTTTACACGGTTTTTAGTTTTCAGCCCCCTTTAATCACCACCCAGGAACGTGAAGCTCAAGTGCCCTCTGCTCACCAGTCAGCCTTACGCTGCCAATGCATATGGCAGAGAGCCAGACGAGCCCTCCTGGAGACCTCCGCAGCCTACGTTAAAGGGGCTAACCGGCGGAGGTCTCAACAACCCACTTATCAGGAGGGCCAGAAGGTATGACTCTCCACCAAAGACCTCCCATTAAAAGTAGAATCACGCAAACTTGCTCCCCATTTTATTGGCCCTTCCCCCATGTCCAAAGTCATTAACCCAGTTTCTGTCTGTTTATCTCTACCTAAATCCATGAATATCCACCCATCATTTAACGTATTCAAAATCAAGCCCTTTTTGCCCTCCCGTTTTCACCCCGCCCCAGAAACCCCCCCACCCGCCCGGTTCATTGACAGGGCACCCGCCTACACTGTGCGCCGACTCCTCCGCTCCAGGATATGGGGCCGAGGAGTCTATTACCTGGTAGACTGGGAGGGATGCGGCCCAGAAGAACGTTCTTGGGTCCCCTCCCGTCACATCATCGACAAGTCCCTCATCAGGGACTTCCATCGCCTTCACCCGGACCAACCTCGGGGCACATCAGGTGCCACGCCTTAAGGGGGGATCTGTCACAGTTTACACTCTGCATTTTCCTTTTCTCATCACTCTGTTCACTGTTTGACTTTTTCTTCTCTGCTCTACTAGGTTTTTCCTCTGCTGCTTCTGCCAGCCTCGTTACATGCCACACCTCTCTCTCTGATTGCTGCTGATGGTTTCCACCTGTTTCTGGGTGTATATGTACTTCCTGCTTTCTCTACTACATTGCCAGATCAACTGCTTGCTTCCAGCCACAGATATCCAGCGTACTCTCTTTGTTCACAGCTCTTTAATCTTGATCCATGCCTGTTTCCCTCGACCACTCTTTTTGCCTGTCCCTTTTGTGCCTCAGCCTTCTGACCTTGTTGACGACCTACACCTGTTTTTGGATTTCGCCTTTGCCTCTCCCTATCGGTACTGTCTCCTCTTCTGATCCCGTGTATGAACCCTGCTCATCCTCGACTACGCCTCTGGATTTCCCTTGGTCTCTGCAGCTCTGTGTGTGTCTGGAGCGTCCCGTTACAACAAGAAAGGTTAGTGTTTCATCAGACTGTCTGTATTCAGATAACTACTCATTATTCTGTCAAACACTAAACTTTCCCCTCTGTATCATTTTAGATACAGTTCCTGCCCCTGGACCTGAGACATCATAAGCTGTTTATTTACTCAATAAACATTTTAAAAACCTTTCTGAGTCTGTGTGTAGGATCCTCTGCCATCAGATCTCTGACACCTACAGCACATCTCACCACTGTCCTGCTGTTCTCATGCATGTCCTGGACCAGTCTAAGGTTGTTTTCACACCTGATAGTCTGGGACAACAGGGCTGGTGTGAATGCACCCTAACATACAAAATTCAATTCAATTCAAAAATACTTTATTAATCCCAGAGGGAAATTATTTGTTGTTGTAACTCGTTATCCTCATTTCATTAAGAGATGTTATAGATGCTGATGGCTGTAGACAGGAAGGATCTCTTGTAAAGGTCCGTCCCACAGTGGATCCTAAGAAACTGGCTGCAGATGTCGTCCGATCCGTCCACCCAGTCTCTGCTGGCTTCTCGGTTCCCCCGGGCTGTAGGACTGCCCAAATGCTGGGCAGAACTCCTCCCAGAGTGATGGCCACTCCTCCCAACAGTCTGCCGAGCTCCTCATCGCTGCAGACAGCCAGCTGTAGGTGCCGAAAGACTATCCTGTCCTTCCACTATCATGAGCCATGTTTCCTGCTAGTTCCAGGATCTCAATGGTCAGGCACTCGAGCACAGCTGGCAGGTAGATGAGAATCCGTCCACAGAACATCCTTTTCAACTCACTTGAGATTTGGGGCTGTAGCTGAGATATTATTTGAGCTTTTGAGATGTTAATCAGCTGCTGTTGGTTGTAGAAAACTGCCTTGTTGCCATGGTTACGCATCATAACAAATGTCCAAAACTAAAAAAGTTTCAGTAAAAATCCTTCCAGCTGCACAGCATCCAATACCAGAAGAAACAAGCATCCAAAAAAACTGTGATTTACATCCAGAACAAGATGAATTAAAGTTTCCAAAAGCAAAATTTCAAAATGAAAGAAAGAGAGCTGCTCTAACATGCAGCCACCTTGAGCGGCGCAATTCTAGAATACTTCTCTGCCACTCCAGATTTCCTCATGCAATACCACACCTCCTCCCTCGGCACCCTGTCATATGCTTTTTCTAAATCCACAAAGACACAAGGGAGTTCTTTCTGACCCTCTCTGTACTTCTCCATTAACATCTTCAAAGCAAAGATGGCATCTGTGGCGCTCTGTTTTGGCATGAAACCATACTGCTCCTCACAAATCATCACCTCTCCTCTAAGTCTAGCTTCCACAACTCTCTCCCAGATCTTCATTGTGTGACTCATCAACTTAATTCCCCTGTAGTTGCTACAACTCTGTACATCACCCTTGTTTTTAAAAATGAGCACTAGCACACTTCTTCTTCATTCCTTAGGCATTTTCACACTATCAAATTTGCCATTGACTATTTGAGTCAAAAATCTCACTGCTATCTCTCTAAGACATTTCCAAACCTCCACTGGTATGTCATCAGGTCCTACTGCCTTCCCCTTCATTCTTTTCAGAGCTTTCCAGACTTCACCCTCACTAATCTTTCCCACTTCCTGGTACACAGTTTCTATGACCTCTACCCTTCTTTCTCTTTCATTAGCTTCATTCAATAGTTCCTCAAAGTACCCCTTCTGTTTTCCCATCACACTATCCTCACTTGTTAGAACATTACTATTTATATCTTTAACAAGCCTAACCTGCTGCACATCCTTTCCAGCCTGATCCCTCTGGGCAAAAGGGTGTTATTTTGAAAAGGGTTTTATTTCAGATGCCCTTGCTGACATAACTCTCACCATTTACCCATGCTTGGGACGGGGACAAGGGATACACTGGCTTGTGCTCCCTTAGTGGCCAGTTTTCTCTTTTGGCTCACTGATTTTCAATAAAAGTAAACAAAAAAATCAATTAAAGCTGTTTAATTAGCAAGCTATTTATTACCATTTCTGTGTCATTGACAGGGGTCAGGTGGAATTCACAGAGTGGGATGAAGAAACCCTCCAACTGACCAATGAGTAGCAGCAGTATCACTCCATCAGAAAACTGAAAAGAAAAAAAATGAAAAAAATCAGAGGAATTTAAAATATGTGTATGAAGGGTGATAAAATCCCAGGAGAGGTAAATTATGCTATTTGATATTATTCAGTAATAAACAACAGTCCGTTTCTACCTGTTTGTCCATGTCAGCCACATGCAGACCCAGGGTCACCATATTCTGATTGACAAAATGTAAAATGGCCTGAAAATGTAACAATCAGGTTAGAAATTAAAAATGCAAGTTTGAGTTATTTGATCTAAATTTATTTATTTATTTATTTTAATTATTGTATTCAAACCCTGACATTGTAGTTGATATTATACAAATACTATTTAATGATAAAACTGAATATAATTTGAAAATTACACAATAACCCTGGATTACTAAGTCATCACCGTTCAGTCCTGAAGAGAACTTTTATCCTTGTTGGCAAGTTTAAAGTAAGTACACACAGAAGTTGTCAAAAACTGCTGTCAAACTGGATGCTGCAGGAAAAGTCTGTTTTTTCTCCAGGGACACAGAAATTTTTATCTGAAATTTTCTTTACAGCAGCAAAACCTGCCAATCCTTATTGTCATTCCTAGCACATTTCTTTCAAGTAAGAAAAATTGTTGGTTTAATTTTTAAAACAGTTTAGCCTTTTTTAAACTTTTTGGATGGAAAAAAACTTGGATTTACTGTTAGATGTGTTGCATCAAAAGCAGTGTGCCGAAATATAAAAAAGGAAAGTGATTTTGAAAACTCTTTTAACAGAAATGAATTGAAAACATTTAAATAACTGTGCGAGAGAATCATGAAAAGCAATGCTCTTGCTCATTTTATACATATTTATGAGCTAAAGCCTCCAGCTTAACATTCATGTGGGGTGCCAGTGAAGAAGAGTACCTGGCTGTGTAATGTTTAAACACAGCTTCATGTCTCAGCTTTTATAAATGACAAGTAGAGCATCTTGTTTTGAAGACATAAAAATACACATTAGAATACACTGTCAGGGTCTCAAAAATGTATAAATCCAACAAGATAAACTCAATGCAACTAAAGTTGGCACACCCATGATCACTGACCCACAGACGGCACACACTGGAAGAACTGTTTAGGTTAAACTGATCGAAAGATAAAATGGCTGTGAAACGTCAAGTTATTTGTTGTTGAGTTGTTCTTGTGATTATTATTATGATTCCAATTTAAGAAAAATATAGAAGAGAGACCAATTCATACTTTAGCTCAGACAGATTCTAACATGTTTAATGTCAGTTTATCCAGGACCACCACATGATATTAAAAAAAAATGTTGAAACCTGGGGCTTCATGAACGCCAAGGGAATTGGGGAAATAAAAATTTGTGGTTGTGCCATGACTTCCTGTGAATGCATCAAAACTGGCCCAACAAGATGCCTCACTGTCTCTAGAGGTTTGGCTGTAGAGGAATATTCCAGCATGAGAACAATCCCATGCGTAATGTCAGAATTATGTGAGTTTCTCATGAGGAAAACAAACTAAAGAACAAGAAATATGTCATTTGTGTAATCCGAGACAAATTCAGCAAAATACTATTGAAGCGTTCCACTCAATTAAAGATGCTGACTCCTCAGATAAATAATGTTATTAACTTATTTTTTATGTATGTGAATGTTTCTGTTCAGTGTCCTGAGATGGCATCTTGTGTGACTTAGCACTATATAAATAAACTGAATTAAATTGATTATGACGTTGCACTTTGATTTGGTTTAGTAAAATGTATCACAACAACCCCCTTCTTTAATAAACATTAAGGTTTTGGTCGAATGTATATCAATCGCAGCCTTGCATGCCAAAGTTTTAAACTAAAATCTTGCACAATTTATTAGTGCTCAGAATACGTGTTGGGGATGATTCTCAGCTAACCACACAAAAATATAACTCAAAATGTGTGAAATAGCCTGAGTAATTGCCAATTTTGTGATTTCTAAAATTGATTAGCTGTGGCAGCCATCTTGAACCAAGTTGTTTTCAAAAGTTAACGTTGAGTTGAGTTTCTAATAACTGCGTTCTGCAGTTTTGTGAAATTTTGACCATTGTTTAATTGTAAATTTTGCTAAGAAACAGGCAAATGAACACACACACGCACATGAAGGAAATAACATGATCCATAATCTTTCGAGGTGGTGGGCCATAAAAACAAAAACACAGTTGTCTCTAATTTCATAGCACAAAATTTTCTGTAAAAAACGGGATATTTTTCATGTCTGTTATTTAAATCTACTTACTCATGCAAAACAATTCTCAAGTTATAGATCTAGTTCTGATTTTCTGCTCTTTGGCCTTTTTTACTTCTGTTTGGAACAAAATACCTGCAGTATGCTTTAGTTCAACCAGGAAACAATGCAATTATGAAATTTATATAATTTCTCTGGTCTAATTTGTATTGGTTCCTGAATTGTAAACTAAAGCTCCAGCACACCACAGCTGGTTTACCAGGCTGTGCATTAACTCTACAAATCTTCTCTCTCTAGAGATGAGAGCATCGACACTTAAACAACCTCAGCATGCCCATCATTCTTTTCCACACCTTCTTCACTGTGTTGACCTTGTTGGCCTCAAGCTTCAGCAGTTGCTCAATTGGATCTTCCCCTAGGTGATGAGACAGCCAGAAAAATGTGTTAGTGTGCTCTAATCGTGTTTGGATGACATTCAGGATGTCAACTTCAGTTCAACTTCTGACCATTCTCACTCACATTCAGGACTGCTGGAGGAATTGGAGGCTCCACAGCTGCATATAAACATGCAGAGTGTGAGATGACAGTTTTTTATATAATCACAGAATCACACGAGAGCAAGAAAAAACAGTCTACACACCTGTCCTCTGTCAGGGCTTCCGTTTGCACGTCTGATTTAATTCCATTTTTGCTGACCTGGATAAAAATTAAAGTTAAACACTGATGTAAAATTTTGCACAAAATTTCACATGGCGTATCTGATGCAGATCTGACATGGGAAAAGGCCCTAGAGATTTTTCCAGCTCTGACTCACTTCCACAACCACAACTTCAACCTTCACATTTGGTGGCAGATTTAGTTCAGGCTGGAAAGATTTTGCCATAGCAACCAGCAGATGAATGGTAGCCAGGAGGTCTTTGTTGTGGATGACTGACAGACAAACAACAGAGCACAAAACAAAAATCAGCTTACATTGATGTGATCATTGTCACCACCACATGGTTTTAAAAGAAAGACACGCTGCAAGGATTGTAAAAACACAACAAATAATTAATTATTTAAGAGCTTAGCATTTCTTTAAGAAATGCGCGTGCACAACGCCTGCTGCCTTTCATGCTTAGAAAGGTTCAGAAGCTCAAACCTTGTTTATGATGTTATGCTGTGAGATCCTGCATGATCTCTCGCTTATGTATGTGTTAAGAATGACTCTCAGCAACTGACATCAAATTTCAGCTCAGTATCTGTAAAATGGCTGAGTTCATGTCATTTTTGTGTTAGCGAAGGTTGATTAGCTGTGGTAGCCATCTTGAATTAGGTTGGCCCTAAAATGTAATGAGCTGTAAGTGTATCATTATTTTTTTAAAGTTCCATTAAAATCTGTTCCGTGGCTCATGAGATATTTAGCTAACACAACAGACAAACGACCACACACACTTGCACATTCACTCAGACATGAGAAAAAATGTTGTCTTCAAAATTGGCAGAAAGTGATAATGATACATTAAACAATCTCTTTTGTGTTTTATATGCTTGTTAACCTCCTGAAGTTTCCATGTCTATGTGTGCATTTTGACTTATTTGAACTGAGTTGACTTCAGATGACTCATCTAGTGTCTGTACCCACTTCATCCTCTTCAGTGCCACAAGAAATTAAACCATGTCAGCCATCGTTGGGACAGAACCTCAGCCAGAACACAGCAAACACAGAGACAGACACACTCTCTCTCATACCTACGGTCATTTTAGAATAACCAATGTTATGTGCATGTCTCTGGAATAACTCTGACCTTTAGAATGAACGCGGTTTGGAGCATATGAGACCGCTGAGTATGCTATATGTTCAAGTTTTTAATAAGCTCGTCCCCAGTGTTGATATTCTTTACCCCCTTACTCATGACATCACTGTTCAAACTTTTAAATTTATAGTTCAGACCTTTTAAAAATGAGTTCTGTGGAAATGTTATTAAAAACAATATCTTACCTGTTATAGAGAAGCTTTTTCATTAACACAACATTAGGACAGAAAATTATATTTACACAGATAAGAGCAGGTACAGGCAGCTGTTGCACTTGCAGCAGGAATATCATACAATGTTGTGTTTCTGACAGAATAACTGGGAAATCCAAACTGACAACAGTGTAAAGATTTATAAAACAGCATAAACGCCTAATAAATGTTTGAGGTTGGAGTTAAAAGATGACAGCAATCCACTTTAGTCAGTTTATCACTTTTGCCTTGCTCAGACTAGTCTTGGTTATCAGTCCAAATGAAATTTTTTATTTCTCCTAAATGTGGTTGTTTAAAGAGCTAACCTTTTCAAACAATCTGAACTGCTCCTTTAGGCTAGTTCAAAGTGCAACATTTCCATAATATTCTGATTTAGGATGCAATTTTTTATTAATGCTTATACAGTATACTTTAAAAGTTATGCAGATTTCAAAAGTGGCTACACAGTAAAAATAATCAAGAAATTCAATATATATTTCATTTTTTCATTCATTTTTGGAGTAAGCTGTTGGGGAAATAATCAGTTTTGTTGTGTGTTTCCTTGACTGATCAATTCAATTCAATTCAAAAATACTTTATAAATCCAAGAGGGAAATTATATGTTGTGGTAACTCATCATCCTGGTTTCATTAATGAGTTGTTTTAGATGCTGATGGCTGTGGGCAGGAAGGATCTCTTGTACTGATCTGTCCTACAACGGATTTGAAGAAGCCTCTGACTGAAGACACTCTGTTGTTGTATGACAGTCTGATGAAGAGGGTGCTGAGATTTTATGAAGAATCCTTATTTGAACATCATCTCCAAAGGTTCTAGAGGAGTCCCCAGAACTGAGCCAGCCTTCTTTATGAGCTTGTTGATCTTTTTTAAGTCACTTGCTCTGGTGCTGCTACCCCAGCAGATGACGGGAGAAGAGATAGCACTTCTACAACAGACTTATAGAAGATATGCAGCATCTTGCTGCAAACATTGAAGGACTTCAGCTTCTTCAAGAAGTACAGTCTCCTCTGTCCCTTTTTGTAGATGGCTTCACTGTTGCATTTCCAGTCCAGTCTGTTGTCCAGGTGAACTCCAAGGTATTTATACTTCTCCACCACCTCCACTTCTTCTCCCATGATGGAAATAGGGTTGGACCTGTTCCTGATTCTCCTGAAATCTACAATCATCTCCTTTGTTTTGTTTACATTCAAGATGAGATGATTGTTTCCACACCATGCTACAAAGCGATCCACCAGTTCCCTGTACTCAACTTCTTGTCCATCTCTGATACACCCGACTACTGCAGAGTCATCAGAATATTTCTGCAGATGACAGGAGTCTGTTTTGTACTGGAAACCTGAGGTGTACAGAGTGAAAAGGAATGGTGAGAGTACAGTCCCCTGTGGTGCTCCTGAGCTACTGGCCACCTGGTTAGACACACAACCCTTCAGTCTCACAAACTGTGGTCTGTTTGTCAGGTAGTCTTTGATCCAGGCGATTGTTGAGGCCTCCACCTGAGTCTTCTTAAGTTTCTGACAAAGCAAATCAGGCTGGATTGTGTTAAATGCACTGGAGAAATCAAAGAACATGACTCTCACAGTGCTGTCTGCCTTTTCTAGATGACTGTGAGTTTGCTGAAGCAGGTGTATGATGGCATCTTCAACTCCAAGTCCATGCTGATAAGCAAACTGCAGTGGGTCCTGATATGTGCTTGTTTGTCTAGTCAGGTGGGTCAGCAGAAGTCTCTCTAGGACCTTCATGGTGTGGGATGTCAGGGCAACAGGTCTATAGTCATTGAGGACTGATGGGTGAGTTTTCTTTGGCACTGGAACAAGGCAGGATGTTTTCCACAACACTGGAACCTTCTCCTGGGTCAGGCTAAGGAAGCCTTCTGGATCAAAGATGAAATGTTTCAGCACACACACACACACACACACAAAAAAAAAAAGAAACTGTCCAGATGACCTGACTGAAAAATGTTGGATTGCATACCTGGATTATTGAGCATGGACTTTGTTGTTAATATAAATTTCAGTTGAAGAATTGTCAAAACAACAAATTAATAAGCTTCAAAATATATTTCAGGCAAGGATCATCCTGAACAAATCTACAATGAGATCATAAGAATAAACTCCAGAGCCATGAACTCTAAATCTTTTTGATTTAGAACAAAGCAGCACTTTTCTAAATCTTTTTGTTTATTATCAGCATATTGACTCGTACTGTTTATCAGTCCATATCAAGCTCAACATGAAGTTGTTTACATCATAGTTTTGTTATTTCCTGCAGCTTTCTTACATCAGGTGAAACATCAGGTGTTTTTTATTGAGGAGCAGTGAACCCATTTTCTATCTTATCTGTCTGTCTGTTGCCATTCCCAAATAATGTGTTAAAACAAAAAACAAACTCGGTTCCAGAAAACATATTAGTTGTTCGACAGTTTAAACGTTAGTGGTTTTGTTCCTGGCTTCCTGATTGTCACTGATTCGTTTCTCATCTGGAAATGTATTTGAATGAAAAATTGTGATTAAACAAATAAAATGTTAATATCTAAAAGGCCAATTAGTAAAGACTAATTGGCATTAGACAACACAAAAATGACTCTGATGATCAATTTTACTCATTTTGAGCTACAATCCAAACACGAGGCCATGGCCTCAGACACTCCATCTTCCCATGTCTGTTTGTCAATGTTTTACTCGGACGGGCTGTACTGAAATGTAATTTCATTGTGCTTCGGTCCAATGACAATAAAGCTGATTCTGATTCTGGTTTGGTAAAAGCTAAGAGTCACTCCCAATTCATACAACAAGCAGTAATAGATACTGTAGCTCAAGATATTTGGCTAAAACTTCCACCCTGGAGGTCTACTGACTAAATAGTTCAAGAATCACCAGAGGTATTTTAGTGAGATCTCAAGGTTTTGGAGTCAACACAATTCAAGATGTCAGCCACAGCTAATCCACCTTAGTGAACACCAAAATGGCCATAACCCAGTGAAATTTACATAATTTATTCAAAAGTGTGGTTGGTAGTAGCTAAGAATCATTAACAACCCGTTCTGTGCACTGATCATACAGGACTTCACAATATTGAGTGAAATTGTAACCCTTTTTTTTTTTTAGATTTGTCCAAAACAGCTCAAAATCTGTTATTTCTGAACACAAAATGGTTTTAATTAAAACTCTGGCTTCCCCTGAAATTGTTATTTGTTGCTTTTGATTTACAAGTTACAACGAGTTACAACAACATTTAATTTCCCTTTGGGATTGATAAAATATTTTTGAATTGAATTGAATTGGATTTTGGTTTAAAAGTGGACTTTCTGAACAGTCAACACTGTGGACAATAAATTAGTTTCAATTTAAACACCACTAAACTTAAGCATGGCATAGTTGCATATAAAAAAGCTTAAAAATGTAAAAAATATATATCTTCCATCCATTCATTATCTTTATCCGCTTCTTCCTTTTCAGATTGTGGGGTCGCTGGAGCCCATCCAGCAGTCACTGTGTGAGAGGCGGGGGATACCCTGGACATGTCTCCAGTCCATCACAGGGACACATAGAGACAAACAACCATTCACTCTCTCTAAAAAAAGTTAAGTCTGGTCCTCTAGACATTCACTTTCACTCACACCTAGAGACAATTCAGAGTTACCAATCAGCCTAACATGCATGTTTTTGTCTGTGGGAGGAAACTGGAGTACCTGGAGAAAACCCACACATGCACAAAGAGAACACGCAAACTCCACCCAGAAAGGTCCCCCAGCCAGGATTTGAACCAGTGACTTTCTCGCTGAGAAGCGACAGGTCTACCAACTGTGCCACCATGCTGCCTAATCTTATATGTTTTAAATGTAATTAAATTGTTAAAAACCACCAGGTCCTGACAAGATCAGCAGATTCCAAAAGCAATCAAGCATAATCGGATTTCATATTTAACTGTTCAGTTGCATTTTTATAGGAATGAACATGATCCTTCTTGGTTTTGTAAGGATGGTATCCCTCTGTCAGTCTCCCTGTGTCTGTACTCCCTAGTGTCTCTCAGGGTGCATTCACACTAGCCCTGTTTAGTCCGCTTTAATCAAACTCTAGCTCGTTTTCCTTGAAAGTCCGGCTCGTTTAGGGAGGTGTGAACACGCCATCGAACTCTGTCACGTAACAAAAAGGCGAACTCTGGCCCGGGCTAAAACCTAGGTCTCGGTCCGGTAGAAGCGAACTCCAGCGCGGTTCGAGTTCAGTGTGAATGTAAACAGACCGGACCCCGCTCCGCAGGGTAAACAAACACGCATTGCTCTTACCTTATATGGAGCTGTCAGCTGCCTTGTGTGAAAAACAATATTCTCCATGGTCTTCTGTCTCGGGGCAGCACGGTGGCGCAACTGGTAGAGCTGCTGCCTCTCAGCGAGCAGGTCCTTGGTTCAAACCCCAGTCCAGGGGCCTTTCTGGGTGGAGTTTGCATGTTCTCTCCGTGCATGCGTGGGTTTTCTCCGGGTACTCCGGTTTCCTCCCACAGACCAAAAACATGCATGTTAGGCTGATTGGTAACTCAAAATTGTCCCTAGGTGAGAGAGAGAGAGAGTGAATGGTTGTTTGTCTTGTTTGTCTCTATGTGGCCCTGTGATGGACTTGCGACCTGTCCATGGTGTACCCCGCCCCTCGCACAGTGATTGCTGGACATGGGCACCAGCGACCCCCGTGACCCAAAATGGAATAAACGGGTAAAGATAATGGATGGATGGATGGGTCTTCTGTCTCATCTTCTGCTCATGCTAAGTCCATTTTTGAAAAATGACAAAATATAACTCCTAAAACTGCTAAAACTTGATGCCACTTCGTTTTTATTTTTATTTACAGAAGAAGAAGAAGACGTGTCTTCAGAGGTTTTTGTGTTGTTTCTTTCAGTAGTTCTTGGTGCAGCGCCCCCACAGGCGAGCGGGTGAATAGGTTGGTTCAACAGGTTGACTCGACTGCACAGTGCAGTGTGAATGCAAACGCACCAGCTCAAATGTAAACAAAAGCTCATGAATAGTGGTCCCGAACCGAACCGAACCGAGTCTACCGGACTATCTAGTGTGAAAACGACTTCAGTAATTACCCCGATCAGCTCCACCCGCGTGTCCTCCAGGTGTTTGTAATTTGTCTCGTCTAGTCTGTGTGTATATAAGCCCTGGTCTGTGTCTCAGTCATTGTCGGTGCATCGTATGGTATCCTCCTGTATCCCTCGTGTTTCCTGACTAGTAAGTGTTTTCTGCCTCGTCAGCTGTTTATTTGTTATTATTAATGTGTTTTCTTATTTTACGTCCTGGCCTCTGCGTCCTGTCTGCACATGGGTTTGTTCTTGTTCAGCTCAGTCTGAAAACCCTGACAGGTTTAAGGTTTGTCCCATCAAACATGGTGCTGATGGATAATTCCATCAGCCCCCCCATATTTATCTCTCAGCTAAAATCTCTCACAGTTGGTATAATCTTGAGTGGTGGCCTGAAGTTAGCAGTAAAGCCTGTTATACTGTGATCTGCTGTGAGGCTGGTGCCAGAAGGGAACATTTGTTTGCTTGTTGCTTTGTTACTGGATCCCAGTCAGATGCATGACTCACGCTTGACGTTCCATTTGATGGGACTGCTGTCCTGCAGACCCAGCCTTTTATCCAGCTCCGCCAGGATCACTTCCAGCTTGCGGATCTGAGCAGTGCTGGTCAACGCTATTTCTTCCACAGGCAGATCCACACTGGCCAGCTGGGCTGCAAAACTCAGAAAATTATCAGTTATAAGAAATCACATTTCTAAAGTTGACTGTTTTATTCCATTGTTTGCTCTTTTATTCTAGTGATTGTAATTCTACAAAGTAATTTAAAGCATGGTTTGTTAATAGAATATCAAAGGGTGCATAATCTCACACAGTAGGTGATGAAGAACCAGTCCATCATACAGATCCTCCTCCAGACTCTGAACCACGATATGCTCTGGTGTCAAAGTCCTATTGATCCAATCAACCAAAGCCTCCCAGGACACAATTAACCACACAGTCAGAAAACATCAAACACTTTCTTCTTTTCACAAACACTTTTCTTTTACCGAGGTGGCACATTACAAACCAGCACGAAACCTGTATTTATTTATATATTTTGCACCAGAGTTAGGTGATAGTAAAATAAATGTAAATTCTGACTGAAACAAAGTGTCCAACATATACCTGCCGATATTTTACTTCCTCCTTTTCTTTAACAAAGATGCATCTTTAACAAAGATCAAAGTGTGATCTGGCAGACTCGTCATGGTGACACTACGACCTGTCTCCAATCAATTCTCTTAATTATGGTCATTAAAATTTCACTAATCCTTCCACTCTCTGCCTCATCAGATATTATTCATGTGCTTCAGTGCACACATACATGCAGGAATACATACACAAAATACATCACACAGATCTTAATTTATGGAACATGACATGTCATGAATGTTGAACAAAAGACTGAAATAAACACAAAGAAGTATGAATTATTTCCTACCTCCTTCAGCTGTTCGAGTTTGGGGTCCTTTAAAGATGTTGGCTGGATGAGTTTTTGTTTCTCTCCTGAGTGTAAAAGGAAACATAATGTGTTTGGAGGTTTTAACTACTACATGACATTACTTAATAGGATTTGTCTGTCTGTTATACTCCTATTACATTCTTATTTAGACAGATCTTTTGTCGTTGTTGACCATTTTTTTAAAAGCCCACCCATCAAATGATAACAGAATGTTTTTAGTATAGTATCAACCAGACATGTTGACAAAACAAAAATGGCAGAATTGGCTCTAATAATTAAACACATCAAAATTAATTGTTGCATGCATATCTACAACTTATTCACTTTTGGAGCCAACCTCATTCAAGATGGCCACCACAACAAAGCAAACAGACATTGAGCTAAAATTTTGTGTAGCTAAAAGTGATGCTAACTGGTTGCACAAGAACAGTGGTTAAACTTTGCCAATTATTATTGTAATTAACTGCATTTGTCTGTTAGTTAAATATCTCAGAAAGCACTGGACAGTTAAAAAAAAAAACCTTTCAGAAAGTTATTGAATGTTTATCAACTGATTAACTTTTGGAGTAAACTCAATTTAAGATTGTTGCCCCAACTAACCAACATTAGAAAACACGTGATTTTAACATAATCAGATTCAAAAATATTGAGATAAAATTCAGTTTGGTTTTAGCTGAGCATAGTCCTAAACACATACTTTAGTTGCAATACATTGTGTTGTCTTAAAATGTTGGCATGACAGGGCAGACGGTGGCGCAACTGGTAGAGCTGCTGCCTCTCAGCGAGCAGGTCCCTGGTTCAAATCCCGGTCCGGGGGCCTTTCTGGGTGGAGTTTGCATGTTCGTGGGTTTTCTCCAGGTACTCCAGTTTCCTCCCACAGACCAAAAACATGCATGTTAGAGTGATTGGTAACTCTAAATTGTCTCTAGGTGAGAGAGAGAGAGAGTGAATGGTTGTTTGTCTCTATGTGTCCATGTGATGGACTGGAGACCTGTCCAGGTTGTACCCCGCCCCTCGCACAGTGATTGCTGGACATGGGCACCGGTGACCCCAGTGACCAAAAATGGAAGAAGCAGATAAAAATATAATGGATGGATGGATGGATGTCGGCATGACAAACCCATGTTTGTCTGTTAGCAAAATAACTCATGAACCACTGTACTGCTTTTAGTGAAATTCTCAGAAAATGAGACAACTGATCCAATTTTGGAGTCATCCACTTTCAATATGGTCGTCACAACATTTGTACCATGTCCAACGGAACCATATCTATAAATTGGTCAAATTTACAGATACAGAGCTAGTTTTTAGTGTGGGACTAGACAACAGGATTTACAACACAAGCAATTTTAGCTAGTGCTTTGCTTCTTTTAGCTTTTAGCTATTGTTTTGCTTCTTTTAGCTTTTAGCTAGTGTTTTGCTTCTTTTAGCTTCTAGCTCGTGTTTTCCTTATTTCAACTTTTAGCTAGTGTTTTGCTTCTTTTAGCTTGCATCTAGTGTTTTGCTTCTTTCAACTTTTAGCTAGTGTTTTTTTTTTCTTTCAGCTTGAAAAACTTGGTTTCATCTTCAGCAAATTTTGGCAAAGTCCTTCAGCACCAAGTATTCATTCTGTATTTATTTATTTTATTTTATTTTTTACAAAAATGAAAGTTCTCTAGATAAAGATTACATTAGACTAAACAAATTTCTTCTATAAGTGATATGGTTGACACAATTCATCTTCTACATCTTCTATATTTCTAGGTCTCAGTTCTGAGAAACAACTGCAAAATGATTTGTTGTAATGTGGTTCGAGAGAACTTTACTGAAACTCTGATATTAACCACTTTAAAGCACACCTACCTTGAAATAATTCAATATCCACAGGATCAGCCTCTTGAAGATGGTCAAAAATGACTGCCTCCATCAGTGCTGCTCTGAGTGATAAAGCCACTTCAATGGCCAAGTATCAGAATCTGTGGAAGAGTCAAGTGCTTTCAGTGGCTTTGGTAAAAAGTCTCAGTCAGCAGCAGCTTAGTAAATGAGCATTTCACTCAATGTTCTGCTGCAGCTGGAGATCGACTCTCTGGCTGGCAGGGTAAGACCCTGATCGATTCGACGGGTAACTCAGACGAAAAGAGAAAGTGCTTCTCCATTTTTTTATTTTTTAAGTACAAAGAAAAACTGTACAGTTCTTAATAATGACACAGTTCCAGTTTTGTATATGTTTTATCTAAATAAATTTTTGCAATCAGCGCATTAAAAGTCACAAAAACCTTCTGAATTGGTTAAAAACTTGTCAGACTAAAAAATTAAAGCTTCTGGTTTCCTCACTTCCTTTTTCTAGTCTGTCAGCAGCGCTCACAGCAGTTCTGGTAGTGCACACCTCTGCTCAGTTTTGTGGCTCTACCTCTCCCTCAGAACATTTTGAACCTTACGGTCTGAGACGAAGCACAGCAAACACATAAAGTCACACATTCTGACAAAACAGCCATGACATAAAGCGTGTCAAGCTGTTGTTTCCTGGATCTGGAGAAGAGGGAAAGCTTCAGTGAGCAACTTTTCTTTTCCCCCCGTGTGTTTTATAAATGAGCATGGTTTCCATTTCCGGAGGTTGACAGTAACTTTCAAATAACGTCATAAACAAAAACAACTTTTTTTTTTCAAGCTTACCTTCAGTTCACTGCAGAACTACTGCAAATGAGTCAAGGGAAGTTCTGCTGAGCTGAACTCTGTCACAGAAGTCAACTTCACGAAGAGTTAAAACAGCAATGGAAGAAGCTGATGGCTGCTCTGAATCTGAAAGGAGGCTCCAATGAGATATAACGGGGCAAAAGGCAGCAACCGCACTCTGCTTTAAACCGTTGTTGCAGAAAAGGAAAGCGTTTGAGGGTCAAAGAGGAAGAGAAGAAACAAAAAAGGAGAATGTGGCAAAAGAAGAAGCACTTCCTCTTTCTGATACAGGCACCACAGCAGACTGTTTACTGATGCGGCCGCTTGGGTTCAGTGCCACAATTTGAATTTGAAACTTAATAAATGTGACTGCTTGTGCAGCAAAGGCTCCTGGGTACAAATGTATTGTTTGGAAATCCACATCTCAGGAATATGGAGAAACGTGACAGTTTCAGGCCTGCATCACTCACATTTGACTCACACATATCTGTCAGTGATTGGTTGGCTCATTTTGTAGACAACTGGTCTCTAGCTTTTCTTTCCACATCAAACCCCACCATCACCACGTAAAAAAAAGGGTAAATACAGAAAAAGATGGACAAAATACTACTATTGTGTGCACTGGCATTTCTTTTTAGGAAGGACAAAAATAACCATCACAAAGACGAAGGGGCAATTTGGGGGATGAGGAAGGTTACCATAGAAACAAAGGTATGAGACAAGAAAATAAAGGCCTAAAATAAATCCATAATTCCTTTATCCAACCCAAATTGCAAGAATTGACTGGTCCAAAGCCAATCTCAGTGAAAAGCCAAGGCAAATCTAACCTATCACAGACGTAAGGGATCAAATAAAGATCCTCATTCGTTTGAGTCAAAGCATTTATTTCTTGATAGGAAAGATGAGGAAGAAATGTGCACAGCTGAGCCATGCAGCACTAGCTCAGTCTAGATAAACGTCGTCCAATCTCTCAATTATTCAGTTTGGTTTTAAAATGCATTGAGTAGACGTGCAGTGTGCATCTTAGTAGGTCCCCAGGTAGCACCTAGAAGCCAGCCTTTCTCCAGGAGTCCAGTGGGAGGTCTTGGTCTCTTCAGAGACTTATCAAAAAGGTTGGTCAACATAAAGACACTAACTGAGACTTTCCTGAGGACGCAACAAAAGCTGCACTTTAGAGTGGAACAAGCTCTGTTTTATATGGCTTTAAATACTGAATTTATACATTAGACTCTGTCTAGCTACCTACAATGAAATATTTGATTATGCATGCAAGTTCTTTGGGCGGCTGTGGCTGAGTGGTTAGAGCAGTCGTCCCCCAATGCAGGAGTTGGGGGTTCGAATCCACCAGCAGTCACATGCCGAAATGTCCCTGGGCAAGACATTGAACGCCTTGTTGCCTCTGATGTGTGTCCCATCAGTGTATGAATGTGATCTAAAGCTCTGATTAGTCTCATTAGAATGATTTGTTCAATTAGCTTTGTAGAGATCTAGTAGAGTGCTGTATGAATGGGTAAATGAAGACACAGATTGTAGTGTAAAGCGCTTTGAGTATCTAGAAAGGCGCTATGTAAGTACAGTCCATTTACCATTTACAATTTTAAGAAAAAAAATGTTTGCATGAATTCCATTTTGTTTTTTTAATCTACAATCACGCAGGCTCAAATGCATACCTAACTTTTTTCATTTATTTTTTCATTTACCCTTTATTTATATATTATATTTTTATTCATTGAGCCACGAGAACTCATTTTCAAGAGAGACCTGTTTAGGGAGCAGATGGGGGTTAAAGATCTTGCTCATGGGCCCAGAGTGGGGCGAATTAGGGTGGGGGCAGGTGTGGGTGCCAGGTGTGGGTGCTTCACCTACCCCACCCACATTTTTTGACGTTGTCGGAACCGGGGCTTGAACCAGCGATCTTCCCGATCACAGGCCCACCTTCTCTAACCTCTGTGCCACCATTCCCACTGGTGGGGGGTCTGGGGGTCCTCCCCCAGACATTTTTGATTTTGAATAAATTAGATGCCATTTCCTACATTCTGGTGTATTTTAACAGGTTGTTAAACATCTACATTTACTTGCATAAGTAAACACTTGATTCAATTACTATAGGCCCTTTTTACATGACGTCAGACAACTTACGTTCTGACTCGACGCTGTGGATCAGTACTTCCACCTGTATCCGTGATTTAATTTTTTTGGTCGCTACCCAGAGCTCATGACAATAGGCGAGGGTAGGAACGTCGACTGGTAAACAAAGAGCTTTGCCTTAATCAGGGCTTAAATTGAAGAGAAAAAAATCCTGAGCCTGAAACTTTTTTGTGGTGTTGATAGAATAAAATTGTGACATATCGCCAACTTTTATTAAAAATGCTCTCTGAAAAGTGCAAACAACTGCTTTTAACAACAAACAATTCAGCTTCAAGTAACAATGACTTAAATGAGGTTTCAATATACTTTGTATTTGAACTTAAACAACGTAAAATATGTGCCCCAGAGTAATGCCCTGCAGCAAAAAAACTCAAAAAGACTCAGCACCACATTGAACAAACACATTTCAGTCAATTAATTTGCAATAAATTTAGAATACTCATTATCACAATCTAAAAGGAAGAAGTTCCACAGAGCTGGTTTTAGGACTCCCAGCGTTCTAAATAACTTTCAGAACAGGAGGCTGGAGTCATTTCCAACATCAACACAAAGATGTTCTGTGCAGTGAAAATGTTTTTATGTACTCAGAATGTTTAAAATCTGATGAAAATGTCTTAACAGCATTGGCGTCAGAAGCATCTGTAAAGTGGAACAAACCAGTTATGGTGGTTCCACTTTGGAGTAAGCTGTATGGGGAAAAATCAGTTTTGTGTTGTGTCTAAAAAAGTTAAATGTGGTCCTCTGGACATTCAAAAAAACAAAACAAAGCAAATCAACAAAAAAATGTAGAAACGTTTCGTCTCTCATCCGTGAGACTTCCTCAGTCTGAGGAGCTGTATTCAGCTCAGTCTCTTAAATAGCACCGTCTCAGAGTGGATCAACCAGTTTTGCTGCTGACAACCAAAACCAGCTGATCACATGCTCAAGAAGGACCATCAGCCTAACAATGGATCATTAGCACACTGATGGCAGTTTACTGTTCACAGAGGGCTGAATGATACTAGCAATCACAGCATTGTAAGAGGGGGACTGTTGAACCCGGAGGCCTCCACCCCTGTTTAACGATGGACGATTTCTTTTCACAAAGATGGCCTCCTTTACTCCTCTCTATGGTATGGTATGGTATATAGTTTATTCATTTTAAAAAAGTACAAAACGATTCCATAACAATATAAAAAATGATACAAAAGATTTAAAATGAAAGGCAGCAGAAAGAAGAAAAAATCTTATTATCTTATTATATCTGCCCCTTTTTTCAAACCATCTCAAACCATCTCAAACCATCGTTCCTCTCTGTCCAGGATGTGAACATCTTCATCTCTGAAAGAGTGACCGCTGGCCTGGAGATGAGTGTAGACTGCAGAGTCCTGGCCTGATGATGTTGATCTTCTGTGCTGGGCCATCCTTTTGGCCAGTGGCTGTTTTGTTTCCCCGATGTAAGACTGATCACAGCCCTCCTGACACTGAACAGCATACACAACATTGCTCTGTTTGTGCCGGGGGACTGGATCTTTGGGATGAACCAGTCTTTGCCGTAATGTATTTTGGGGTTTAAAAGCCACTGGGACGTTATGTTTAGAAAATAAACGTCTCAGTTTCTCTGATACTCCCTCAACATATGGAATGACCACTGGTCTGGGT